TTTCTTGGAAACTTGGGGCAATCATCATAAAAAAATATAAATCTAAAAAATACATGTAAAATGGTAAAATTTTACAATCCTGATGAATGCGCCAATTTTGTATGGAATTTGCCAATACACTTTGGTGCCCTTTTCTTAGATGTGAGAAGCGGCTCTTTTTCGACTTTATTTCTTGAAAACTTGGGGCAAGACCAGTAACACCGTCTTAGATGTTATTTACGGGTTGGATACCAAAGTTTAAATGACCAAAAATAATAAGTAACAACAATATTCAAAAATTGCTTACAAGCTCCGAGTTACTTTTAGAAGCTCACAATTTTCAAACTACTTGAGATATTTTTTTCCTAATTTTTTTCATGACAGTTACATGTCTTGACATTGAGGTCTGGGACACGATGTATATAATTAATCTAACAATTCCACTTTACCTTGCTAATTCGTCCAATGCGGGCCTGTGTATCAACATTTCCATACAAGAAGCATTAGGGCAAGTGTTTCCGATTCGCATGCAGTTGGCGCAGACCGCGTGGCCGCTGCTGCATGCCCTCACAGGCGGCAACACGTGGCGCGTGCAGAGAAAACAACGAGGAGCCATCGACGTCGATATAGGTTTCAGCAACTGCTTCGCACGATGTTCTAGGAACATGTCTTCGCTCAGTGTGATTATCCTGTGATCCATTACTAGAAAGGAAAAAAAAACAGGTTATTTTATATTATATGTGATCATTGCAAATCAGTAATTATAATATTTTTATACACTTTTAACAGGTAATCAGAACTTAACTAAGTCCTATGGTCCTAAGTCCTTATAACTAAGTCCTTATAAGTCCTAACTTAAGTCCTATGGGTTGGTGTGATGATGTCTCAAACGTGTTGCGGATACTCTAATCAGTATTTATATGGTGAACGCACAACAAAATTTTTTGTACAAAGCTATTATTAAGCCAATTCGGACATACTCAAGCCTTCACTACCAAAGCCACTTAAGAAAAGAAGCTGTGACGAATTATTAAATTTAATGCTATAATTTCAGAAGGTACTATCACTGATTAGCTTTCCTTCACACTATGTTATGTAAAATAAACCAAAAAAAGAAAAAAAATTGGACCTACGGTATACTGATATGGGGCTTCCAAATCGTACGAGAACAAAATCAAGAATTCCAAAATAAATTACTAAAAGATATTTTGAATATCTCAAAGTACTTGTATCAATAAACAATAAAATACGAACACATTCGTACAATTACAAAAGCCGCCTCGAGGATCATCCCAACTCATTTGCTAGAGAACTATGGAACAACACTGCCAGAGCAAGATTGAACATTAACATTAACATTTGTCAATTTTTCAAAATCTTTAACAAGGACCATCCTAACTTCACGTATGTGTTATCAATGAGACTTCGAAATGTTGCACTTTGATAAAATTGTTATTTGACGTTTTGTAGATCACGTTTTATGTGATGGCAAAGCAAATATATAGCCTATTGGCAGTTTTTTACTACTAATTCATACAAAGATAGACCTGTAAAATAGAATTACCACAATATTTTTATTTTATACGAGAATTGACCCCATGAAATCGTTGTACCCTTCGAAAAAATTAAGTTCATTAAGTTTTTAAAAAGAAAAGGCAAAAGATTGTGTTAAAAACTATATTTTAGGACTATTTTATCACATGTGGTCACACAACAGAAATCACCTGAAAGGTTTATTTATTATTTTTAGGTAATAATATTGCATTCAATTCATTCTATGTTTTGGTCGCCTCGATAGTGAGTATTTTTTTGCAAAGAAGTCGTTGATATTAGGCCATGTTGGGCCTACATTTAATATATCTCATATTGATCATAACCTAGTAATAAGTCATTGTGTGCAAATAAATATCCTTTAAGTTTTTGATTTTCTTTAAATGTGATTGAAGCTCCTGTTTACGAGTGGAGTTTGCAAAGTTGTTGTTTTGAACATAAACTAATAATGGATTAGAAGACTGTGAGTGACTTTGAGATACTTTTTGATTATTGTTTTAATAAATAAGTTTGTGTATGTGTGCTGTTAATCATATAAAGTATTAGGATTCTATTGCAGTGGTTTTTAATTTAGTATTAAAGTGAAAATGTGTCTACAATGAATCGCCCATCAAATGTGTTTGGGAAAATGAATCTCAGAGTTTACAATGCAGTATCAGAGTTTATGAGTGGGGCCTTTACGTGTACAGGTTAGTAACATATAATATTTATATAAATTTTATAATTTATTTATATTATTTATTAAAGACATTGAATTATCTATGATAAATATGTATGTATAGTATAAATACTCAAGTCTCTGTCTGGAGGTCCACATATGTGTTCCAATTGTTAGTTCGGTTTATAACGATATTTCACAGGATGTTTGAGTGATCAAGGTTCAATTTTTTATTAATAAATTATAAAATGATCACCAAAAATAGATCAAATTAATCAAAATCCCGTTCAATATCCCATGTACAGTTTTTTCACTTATAGATAAAAATAATATTATTATAAAAAATTGATCTTACGTTATGTCACTGTTTCTTATTATTTGTTGACCCACTTAACAATATATTTTTTAAATCTTCAAGCAAAAACAGTGTCACATGCACAAAGATTGATTCTAATCACATTATAATGAACATTTGTTATTTATGCATCAATTTGCATCGTCTTTATATATAAATGAAAACAACGATTTTATGCATGATTTGTTATGTTGACGAATGTCCGATTAGATGTTAGATTGCGGTCAAAGAATAGTTAATGATAAATTATTTTGATTTTTGTCAAAATTCTAATTGATGATGTAATGAGATTTGTAAGGTCAGCAGGTGCTAAAAGTCGTGTTTTTGTCCTTAATTTTTGTGTTTGTCTGTCTGGGCATTTAATTAAAAATTTGCATCAGACTTCATTTAAAATTTAAATGTAGTTATATGCTTTACTTTCAATTGCACAAAATTGCTGATTATTAATACCTTGTTTTTATCACGTTTTTATCATTTGAATTATTACAAGCATACATATTGAAATTTGGAATTTCTATATTTTTTAATATTTGATCAACTATAAAACTTCATAGATCTTTCGATTCTAAATATTTCGTTCTTACAAATATCCAATTTGAATTATAAAAACCCTAACCAGCTTTGAATAAAATTTATTATAAAATGCAATATATCTTGTCATAATGAAAAATATTTTCTGTAAATTTTTCGAAAAATACTGTACACCTGTACAACCATGTGAGAAATTGAAAATTGTACATTGATTCATTGAACATTGCAAGCTAATAATTAAATAAACCCAGCGGTCAACCACTTTTCATTTTTTATATGTAGACAATATATATATATATATATATATATATATATATATATATATAAGATGAATCTAACAGTATTAGCGTGTATGTGTTGCTGCAATGCCCACGAAGAGAAATTTTCTTGATATCATATTGCTTAATATAGAGCTGACCGATATTTGAATTGAACTATTTATTATATCTTGAGGTTGCATAAGATAGGAACATTTTTTCCCACACTTTTTATTGATTATTAGTTTCATGTCCCGACTACACAAAACTTGTTTCAAATGATATTATTATTATCACGGGCAATAATTATTGTTATACACGACCATCGCTGAATTTTTTTAATTTGTTTGACATAGATAATTTTAGAGTAGTCATTGCTTGAAACTTACATTGTTTGAATGTAAGATACATTATCATGGTCGTTAACCTCAGCATTTCTACAAGGTTATGTAAATTAAAATGTGATATACAATTATACAAACATGTATCTATATTGACATATCATATACATATATCACTATGTATACCTATGCCTCATATATCCTTAGGATTTTATATTACGAGTTGAAATAATGACAACTAATAACTAATTACAAATAATAACCGCGATTAATTGTAATAATAAATATTTAGTTACCTACAGTTTGAACCGCAAGTTTAGAATGTTGAATACTAGAAAAAAAACAACTTTTATATATTATCACTTCGACACATTCTTTGAACTACTAGATTAGCATTATAATTTTTCAATTGTTTTATATCGAGTTTGTGAATGAACTTGTTATGAACAATGGAATGTTATTAGTAAACACTACACAAATTATTTACTAATGCATATTATGTTCGCTACTAGAGTCAAATTATTTTCACACATGAAATTCAAGACTTCATATATTTGCATCTCTGTTTATTTTGTATTATCGATATTAAAACGTCGCATAAAGGCTTTAATTTTTTTTGTTCTATCAATGTTCTCACACTCTAATTTAAAAACACATTTGTTGAAATTATAAAAAGAATGTTTAAACATTTTACTCATTCGAATCTTAATAATTATTAATTATATAAACTAGATATATTCGATAATTTTTTCAAAGTTATGCGAGTTGAAAAATAGTTTAATGCAATTTTTAATTCTTGGTCGATCAATTCAATAAATTAATTTGCATTAAAAAATGCAAAAGGGTCAAATTCGCTTCTGAGGTAGTTTAGAGATAAATCCCGTGATTTTGTCTTTCGACTATACATTATTCAATATAAGAAACATAACATGTTGAGGAGCTGTTTACCTAGAAGCACCAGACCCTACTTCTATATAGTTGTTCCTTGTATTATAGTAAAAATCTGAGCTGTATTGCGCGTGGTGCAATCGGCGATGAATGATTGTATAGACATCTACCAGTAGATCGGATGGGTTTTCTGGTTGCTGAAATAGATTTTGGTGAGAATACGGGCTCGATCTATTATGAATAGAATATCTAGTGATGCTTTACTTTTGCAGTACTCACCGCTGCCACCAAAACGTGGTGGCAGCGGTGGAGCCCTGTGTTCATATTGATGTTTTATATTTTTATATTTTATATTATATTTTATATTTTTATTTAACTTTTTTAATTATATTTTTATTTACATTTATATTTTGTTTTATTTTTAATAATTTTTAAACTTCACGTGTATCTATATTTTCACGAGTATTTTTAACATTTAGACGCACTTGAAAATTATAAGAAAAACTAACATTTGTATCACAAAAATCACAGATTTAGTAACATAACATTCAAAAATATCATAATTGTCGTGACAAAACGTTTTTAAGGCTTTAATCAAATTTATGTATTACAAAATTTATATGAGTATTACAAAAATATGAATAACAAAGAAAAAACGTTCAAAAATACCACAATTATCATGTAAAAAGTTCTTAAGCCTATAAATAAACTATATCATAAATTTGTTAGAAAAATTATTTCAGTATTACAAAACTAAAACAAGAGAGACATAACATTCAAATATATCAAAATTATCGTGATAAAAACCTAATATTATTTTTTTTTATAATTGAATTTTTTTAATATTTATAGAATATTGAAAGCTGTGCATTTATATTTCATTTATTTCATAATATTTCTCAATGTTTCTAAATATAAATAAATAGACTTAGTTTTTCATGATACGTAATCTTCTAATATAAATAAAGCACTGCAACTGCTCATGTACCACAACATTCACTTTAGTGCAATGTGTAACGAAATAAAAACAAAAAAACAATAAGAACAGTTTTGACATACGCAATTCTCACATAAAAAAAGTGCATAAAACAAAAATTAATTAACCATATTAGTAGTGTTAA